TTTTTAATTCAAAGTTTAACATGCACTACCCTGTTGACTTGAATTTGTATTTTTTTTATTCATAGCACAGATACTTATTGCTTGACTTAACTCTGTAGCTTATAGCCATAGGCTGGGTATGTGGCTCAGAATTGAGAGATAATTTGTTTTGGAGTAATCACTTTTGATTTATGAAATGTTATATGGAATCATTATTCATCTGGCAAAACAAGCTAAGAACTAGAGGAAAAGTGCTGAAGATGAAGGACTGAGGAGGTACTCTGTATTTACTGAAGCTGAGTGGCAGTAGGACAGCATGTTCATATAGATAATATTTGAAAATGCTAGCATTTATCTATTTTGAGTTGACTTTACATTTTTATTTGTGTAAGTTGAAGCTGTTGATAGAATGTAACTTCAAGTGTTGATAAGTTGAGATAATATAAGCATAATGTGTATCTATAGAGCATAAGCATAATGTATGTATGATAGGCATCTGATATGTATAGATGTCAAAATTAACAAAGAAGTACTCCAAAACTGCTGGGGTTGGACATCAATTGCAAGTTATTTGAGCCTTGAAGCATTCCTGGTAGAAAAAAAATCCCTACCAAAGACAAACCAGCGGGAAGGAATATAAACTGAAAACATGATTTAAAATAGTGTTTAAGTGCTAAGAATTTTAAGTAAACCTGAAAAATGGATCTCACTTGGCCTGTTAGAAAAACTGTGACATCTGTGCAGTAGATTGAATGTCACTGTGCTTGTCAGGTTGTAAATACTGGGCCCTCCCTACTTTCCTGTATTTCTTTAGGAACTATGGAGTTTTGATACACATATGACAAGTTCTGGTGACTTAAAGTAATTTTGATACACTGAAAGTAAGCTCTGAAACTTTTTTAGGGTTAAGCAAAGGAAGTTTTGAAGTTTTTTTAAAATTTTGTACTTTTCATGTCTCTTTAGGGAAGCTCTGTGCGGGCACAGCTGAATAAACTGAGGGTAGGTTAGTATTTGAAGCTCTCTACCAGATACAGCTAGATCATTACCACCACAACAGCAAAGTACTCTGTATGTGCAGCTCATGTTGTCAAAAGAGCAAGCTAATTAGTATAGCTGTACAAAAAATGAAATTCGACTGTGTTTTCTTTTTACCAGTACAAAGATGATTATCTATGTAAGTTTATGCTGCTTAAAGTATCAGTCGCTATATATAGGATGTAAATAGTTGTACAGCATGTTCTTAAGACACTTCAGTCTCATTTGCTCTCACTTGTAGGTATTGCAAGTCAATTCAACAGTTAAACTACTCAGTTATTTTTGAACAAGTGAAGTCTTGAGCATTTGTGTTCAGAGGTCCACATTCTCTTTCTCTGTCTTACAGTGACATCTCTTATCCTAACCCATTCTTTGTGTCTTTCAGCATTACTCTAACACACTTCTTTTAAGAGTCGTCTCTCATCATGATTCAGGGGTTATGTGGTTATAGAACATGGAATATGTAATTCTCTGCCCTCAACATGTCAGGATAAGAATGTCTACATTGTCCTCTAGATTTACAGATCTTGAAGTCTCCTCTAGTTTGCTTAAAAGATTGGCTCTACCCCTTAAATTGTTCATCCATGTCCAACAACTTACTCTGTTGGCTTCACCACTTGCCCAGTTAATGAGCTGAAGTAAATAAGTGAGTGTGTGGAAGTAGCAGGCATAAAAGGAGTAAATAAAAGAGAATAAGAAAGGATAACTCTTTCTACCTTTCCTAGGAAAGGTGCTCAAAAGCTATTTGTCCTGTTTCAGCTCC